CGAAATTGGCGCGGTGGCGCCATGCGAACCCTGCCCGATTTCTTGCAAACATAAAGCAAAAATCAAAAATAACAAAAACAGGAAAACCACACGAACTTTTGCGGACCGCGGCGCCGAGGGTCCTCAAGCGCGAACAGCAGATGGAGGTGCGAATTATTACGACCTAACGTTGCCGATAGCCCGGCGCGCAAGCAGCATCACCGCAAGATGCAGGCAGTGGGTGTGAAAGAGGCATTGTAAAGTCCACGCGACACGTGCAGCGGCCAGAAAACAAAAAGATAACTCGACTCTGAATCAACTGAAGCGCAAGAGCTAACGGCGAATTGCGGCCGCTGCATAACAACCGCAGTGTTAGACAGCGAAGCGCAAAAAATGTTGCAAACGGATTGGTAGCGTGGCCAACCTGACGACCGAAACCGATGGGCGGGGTCGGAAACTACAGACCAGCGACGCAGGGGAACGGGATGCGTGAAAGCCGCCGCGCGGCAGCGTCAACCGCAGCACACAAAAACTGCGTCATCAGCCAAACCGAAGACTGCAAGCACCGAAACTGCAGTGCGAGACCATCCTTAGACGTGCAACGTGCCAGCCCACACGCACACACACGCACACACACACGCACTTTTCAAATCAGCGGCGCAGAGGGTCCTCAAGCGCGGTCGCCAAGTGGAAGTATTACTCGCAATCGAGCACTGTCGAAGGCGCAGCGTACGAAACGTCACATACTGAAACATGCAGGCGATGGGTGCGGTAGAGGAACTGTAAGTCCAAACGAAACATGCAGCGTCCAGCAAAAGAGGAGAACACTCGACTCAAAGTGGCATGAAGCGCAATAGTCAGGTGTTCATTGGCGGTGGTAATGGGCGGCCACTGGATCATCAGAGCGGTGTTCGACAGTGCAGCGCAAGGAAATAACACACACACACACACACACACTTTTGGTCTGCGGGGCGAGAGCGAACCTCTTCCGCTAAAAGCTAGGCGGGCTACGCACAGCTTTGATTAGGGAGACAGGGCACAGGAAGGCGGGGCCTCAGGCGGCCACACACAAACACACAAAGAAGACGCCGGCGGTCGGGGAAGCCGGCGGGCGCGGGCCGTCCAGCACCGAGCGGGCGGCGGCCGCGCCAAAGGCCAGGCGGGCAGTAGCAGCAGGGCAGCGCCAGGGGCGCTGCCCAGGAGGGGGAGGCGGGCGGCCAGGCGGCCAGAGGGCCGCGAGGCACTGGAGGGGCGGCGGGGCGAGAGCGGGCGGGGAGGGCCACGCGCGCGAGGCGGGAGGCCGCGGCGAGAGGCGAGGCACCGAGGGGCAGCCAAGCGCCCGGGCGCCTGGGCGGGGCTGGAGGGGGCCGAGCGGCCCTGAGGCTCGCCGACGAGGCGACCACCGCTGAGGGCCGCCCAGGAGATCGAGCCGACCTGGAGGGCGGCGGGCACCGCAAGGGAGAGCAGCGGGCCGCGCACGGACCGAGCCCGTCCAGAGGCTGGCGGGCCGGGAGGCGAGCGAAGCGACCACCGCTGAGGGCCCAGCCAGGAGAGAGCCAAGCCAGGGAGGGCGGGCAGCGACGGGGGAGGGCGACGGGCCGCGTGGGGGGAGGCGGCACCGGGACGGGAAGAGGGCGGGGCACCGGGCGCCGGCGCAACGAGCGGGCAGCTCCACGCCCGGGCGGCCGGAGCAGAAAGCCAAGCGGCGCGGCGCGGAGCAGCGACCGCGCTCAGGCGGGGGCAGCTGGGCGAAGAGCGGGGCGCGACCGCTGAGGGGCCACGCCGCCCTTCAGAGGCAGGGCGGCGCCCTCAGGGCGAGGAGCCCGGCGGACGGAGCGGGAGCGCGCGAGGGCCCGGGACCGGTGACAGCCCCAGGGGCGGGCAGGTCCACGCCGGGCGCGGCCAGGGACCCGAGGGGGGCCCGCGGGGAGAGCAGCCGAAGACCGGCGGCGCGGCGCCGGACAGCACGCGGGCGCCGGGCACCGCTGGGGTGAAGCAGCGGGGCCAGCACGGGACAGCAGGCGAAAAGAGCACGGCGCCTCGGGGCCGTCCTGAGCGTCGAATAGGGCATCGACTACAGACTTGATGCACCCCAGATTTGAGCTGCTCGTCGCATCGACGAGTATTGCGCACATTGCTCGTAGATCAGCGAACATTACACGCATTCCTTGCACACTCGACGGGGAAACCACATGGGGCGAATCAACTATGTAGTCGATCCCCTACTCGAAAGCGGACCGCCAGGGCCGAGGGGCAAAAGCGGCTCCACCTGGGGGGGCCCGGCAGCGAGCCGAGAGTCGCGCCGCGGTCGGCGGCCCCACAGACCGAAGGCCCCGTGCAAGCTCAGCGCCGAGCGCGAGCAGATGCCCGCCCGACGCAGCTCGGAGAATGGGGCGGGAGGTTGTGGGCGAGGGATTCCCTCACGTGGCCCTGCTGGAGCGCGTTTTTTTGCACTCGCGGCCACAACGGGCGTCATGGGGTGGAGGGGGGGGCGGGAGGGGGCATAACATAGCGCCCCCCCTCCTCCAGACTGTGGTGCCTGACGCACTGCGGCAGTGCTGGGGACGCACTGATGGGGGGAGGTGTGACGCGATGGGGGGGGAGGGGAGTGAAGGGGTATAGCACGCGTTATGGCCCAGAGGGTAAAAAACAATCTCCTGGGGGACGCGAAACTGCGCCATTCGTCAAACGCACCACGGAAGGCCTCCTGAATGTCTTGGGCTGACGGGGTTGGGAGGGCGTGGCTGTGCGCACCGATGTGGGTGACGGCTGCTTTGCGCTCGCGCGCCTACTCGTCAGCAAGGTCGCCATCGTCGGGGGCGGGCGGGTCGTCCGTGGTGTGGAACCAAATGTTCTGGTTGTGGCTGAACCATCCCTCGCGGCTGTCTGGAACGGCGGTCGCGTGCCGCTCCTCAGGGGCGCCGCGAAGAAGGGCGTGGCTGTCCAGGTCCGCGGTTCCCGCTGGGGGACCGGCGGTCGCCCGCCAATACGGCCCGCCCCGCGCGGCGGGGAGCGCGCCTGGCGCGGGGGCCCTGTCCGTGGGTGACCTGCGCCCTCCCAGGGCGCCAGCGCCCGCAGACCGGTTCCCGCCCGTCGCGCGACGCGGGGAAAGGGGGGGGCGAAGCCAGGCAGAGGCGCCGATGCTCTCGGCGCACGGGTCAAGCACGCTGGCGTCGCGGGCCGCCTCCCAGAGCAGCGCCAGTGGCACACAGCGGCGGAAGGAGGGCGAACCATCTGCCCGACCCCCGTCACGGCGGAGCCGCAGCTGGTGCAAGTCCCCCACCTCAGGAAAGCTTGGGAACGGCCGATAGTCGGGGTTGCCACACACACACACAAACACCCAAAAACACACACACACACACACACACACACAGACACACACAAAAACAAATAAACAAACAAACTAACTAACTAACTAACTAACTAACTAACTAACTAACTAACTAACAAATTACTCACTGCGTGGAGCTCCCCATATGTGCATCTCATATTTTATGTCATGCCGTGGTGAGCGTCTGTTCATGAGCGGTCGACTACAATAGCGCGTCCACGTGGGCGACAGGGCCGACGAAGACGAGTGACCCCTAATGCGAGTGATTGCGTATGAGTCAGAGTGAGCTTTGAGTACGGTTGAATGCGAGCCTCTTCCTCTTCATCCCCCCTCCTCAGCTACCAGGCCTTCCCCTTTTCAGCCCGTGGTAGCTTTGGAGCTTCCCACATGTGCATAACAAACAAACAAACAAACAAACAAACACACACACACACACACACACATGTTTTGCGCCGGCGGCTGGGCAGAGGTTGCTGCTCCGGCGATCGGGCATCAATGGGGCGCGCTAGATGCAAATTGGACCGCACTTGACGAGAGGAGAAAAAGAGACCCCAACGCAACGGGAAGAAAAGAAGCCAGGCCCACCTCAGGCAAGTCCCGGCTGCGGCGGACCGGAATGCCACACACACACACAAACACAAACACAAACACCCAAAACACACACATTCACACAGACACACACACACACACACTGTTGGCGTCGCGGCCGCGCGCGCAGCGGCGCGGCGGAGCGAAGGTTGGGCGGAGAGACGCGCGCGGCCCGCCCAGATCATGCGGCGTGGAAATACCGCACGCACAACCACAAAAACAATTAGCCTGGCGAAGGACCCAACCATACGCAGTTGTGAATACCGCACTTGTGAATATCATCTTCGCCCGCGCTCCCTATGGGGCCCCGAACCGTGCGAGGGGCGTAACGCCGTACCGAAATGCGTGGCGGGGTGCACAATACGGACGAAAACGGTCGGTCTGAGTGCGAGAGACTGAGAACGGGTGAGCCTGAGCGCGAGTGAGTCTGATTGTAAATGAGTCTGCGTGCGAATCAGTCGACGTGCATGAATGTCGACACCCATGTCGGCACGGTCCTCACGAGGATCGCGCCCGCTTCCTTCCCGTTCGTTTTCTGGCTTTTTGCCCGTGCACACCGATGTCCATGGCTGCGGGCGCGGCACCGCACGGAGTCCCCGCGACGCACGCCGGTCGCCCCGAAGGGGTCCCGGCGACGCGCGCGGGTCGTCCGCTGCGCGGAGCAGAGAAGGCTAGCTGGTTGGCTGATAGCGGGCAAGGCTGTGGCCGTTGGGCAGAGCGACGACGGGGGCGAGCGAGGCTCTGGGCAGAGCGCAACTCGCGCTGGTCGCCCCGAGAGGGTCCCAGCGACGTGCGCGGGTCAGATCTGTGACCAAGTCCCTGCGTTGTTGCAGACGGAGAATGTGCCCAAATACGATGACGGGAATGACGGGTTCCATGGAGCCTCCCCCCTCCCCCTGCGCCCGCCCAGGCGCTTGCCCGAGCGCGGTGGCGGAATCGCGCGGCGGCGCCGCTGGACTATCTGTCATGGGGCGGCGCCGCCATGCGAGTTCCGCCACTGGGACCTTTATGTGAAGCTCCCTATGGGGCCACGAAACGTGTGAGGGGTGCGCCAAAATGGAGCGGCGCCGCCATGCGAGATCCGTCACTAGGACCTTAGGTGGAACTACCTATGGGGCCGCGAAACGTGTGAGGGGTGCGCCAACATGGAGCGGCGCCGCCATGCGAGGTCCGCCACTGGGACCTTAGGTGGAGCTCCCTATGGAGCCACGAAACGTGTGAGGGGTGCGCCAAAATGGGGCGGCGCCGCCATGCGAGTTCCGCAACTGGGACCTTGGGTGGAGCGTCCCTATGGGGCCACGAGACGTGTGAGGGTGGGTGCCAAAATGCGGCGGCGCCGCCATGCGAGTTCCGCCACTGGGACCTTGGTGGAGATCCCTATGGGGCCAAGAAGCGTGTGAGGGGGGGGGGGGCCAAAATGCGGCGGCGCCGCCATGCGAGTTCCGCCACTGGGACCTTAGGTGGAGCTCCTGATGGGGCCGCGAAACCTGTGAGGGGTGTGCCAAAATGGGGCGGCGCCGCCATGCGAGTTCCGTCACTAGGACCTTGGGTGGAGCTCCCTATGGGGCCGCAAAACCTGTGAGGGGTGCGCCAACATGGAGAGGCGCCGCCATGCGAGTTCCGCCACTGGGACCTTCGGTGGAGCTCCCTATGGGGCCACGGAACGTTTGAGGGGTGCGCCAAAATGGGGCGGCGCCGCCATGCGAGTTCCGCAACTGAGACCTTCGGTGGGGCTCCCTATGGGGCCACGAGACGTGTGAGGGGTGCGCCAAAATGGGGCGGCGCCGCCATGCGAGTTCCGCCACTGGGACCTCAGGTGGAGCTCCCTATGGGGCCACGAAACGTGTGAGGGGTGTGCCAAAATGGGGCGGCGCCGCAATGCGAGTTCCGCCACTGGGAAATTAGGTGGAGCTCCCTATGGGGACACGAAACCTGCGAGGGGTGTGCCGGCATGGGTGTTGTGGACGATGATGGTGATGATGATGCTGCTGCTGCTGATGATGATGATGATGATAATGATGATGTGGATGATGTGGATGAGGATGATGCTGCGGATGAGGATACTGATGGATGATGGGTGATGGTGATGATGGTGACGATGATGCTAATGATGCGGAGAGGAAGGGGGGGCAGCGGAAGGAGAAGGAGGACGCGGGCGCTGTCTCTTCAAAACGAGGACCCAACACCACAGGATGGTTGGGAACAAAAAACATCCACCAAAACTAAAAATCACGCAACACACAACACACACACACACACACACAAATGAAGTCGAATCGAAACAACAACAAAACTCGTCGTGTGTAATAACATGTCAGGTCCCTTCCCCTCCCTCCATCCACGCTTCATCTCCAGACCCCCTCGCATCGTGGAGAAAGCCCGACGGCTAGTTTTCGACAGAATTTCTGGGGGTCCTTGCAGGGCCCTGGCACCGTCAAAGAAAACTCAAAACGAAGAGACGGTTCCCGGGACGGGGACCTGATCTCTGGCGAGCCACATGCTGCTAAGCAGGAAAGCCAAAAAACAAACAAACAAACAAACAAACAAACAAACAAAAAAACGTCGGATGTCTGGGTCCGGGAAAAGAAGGAAGCAGGAGGAGGGAGGAAACAGGAAGAAAACTGGTATCGCGAGGAGACGGATAGCAACCCTACCCCACGTTGGCTTGCGCGCACCTGCCTGAGCCACGGAGCTGGAAAGGAAGCGAGAGGAGAGAGAGGAGCAGGAGATCCTGACTCCAGGAGGCCTCGGGAGGCCCAAACAGGGCAGAGAACATCCCGAAACCTCGATCTTGAGTAGGGCTGGGAGGTCAGGTCTGCAGAACACCCCAAACGGACGTCAAGGGGCGCAATCAACCTGTTCGGTCAAGCTGAAATTGATGCACCACACCCAGCATCAAGCCAAAATGTTCGACACAAGCGAACGGTTGGATTTTGCATTTCTTCGCCGGTTTAACGGGCGAAGCGTTTGACCACCTTGACGTTTTTTTTTCGATGGTCCTGCAGAGGAAGGCGCTCTCTGACCCTCGGCCCTACTCAACCTCAATCTTCGACCGTCGAACTTTCTACCTCCCACACCCTCCCCATTTTCCTCCTCGTACCCCTCCTCCCCTCCTCCTCCTCCTCCTCCCTCCCCTCCTCCTCCTCCTCCTCCTCCCCCTACCTCCTCCTCCTCTTCCCCCCCCCTCATCCTCCTCCTCCTTCTCTCTCCCCCCCCTCCTCCTCCTCCTCCTCCACCTTCTCCTCCTCCTCCTCCTCCTCCTCCTCCTCCCCTCCTCCTCCTCCTCCCCTCCTCCTCCTCCTCCTCCTCCTCCTCCTCCTCCTCCTCCTCCTCCTCCTCCTCCTCCTCCCCACCTCCTCCTCCTCCTCCTCCTCCTCCCCTCCTCCCTCCTCCTCCTCCTCCTCCTCCTCCTCTCCTCCTCCTCCTCCTACCTCCTCTCCTCCTCCTCCTCCTCCTCCTCCTGCCTCCTCCCCTCCTCCCTCCTCCTCCTCCTCCTCCTCCTCCGCCCCCTCCTCCTCCTCCTCCTTCTCCTCCTCCTCCTCCTCCTCCTCCTCCTCCCTCCTCCTCCTCCTCCTCCTCCTCCTCCACTCCTCCCCGCCTCC